TGGGGGGGAGGGGGTGGGGGTGGGGGGGAATTTGGTGTGTGCGTGTATGGGAAAGTCATCTTTATCAGAATTTTCCCAAATTTTTGGACCTCTTGCAACTAAAATAGTTAATGCATAATACAAGCATGGTATAATGGTATAAAATAACCCCCCCCCAAAAAACCCCAAAACAACAACAAACAAACAAAACAACAACAAAAACAAACCCATACAAAAAACCCCGACGACCAAACAAAAGACCCCACCCACCCCCGAACAAGCCACTTTCTTTCAACATAATGGCAAAAGACGAAGAGAAAAATATTATTATTATGATACAAAAAGCTTCAGCATCATTCTACATGACACCCAACAGTATGGTAAGGAATATATAAAAGTTGCCGAAGCATCGACGCCGCCTCTTGCCAACTAGCAGCAGCAGCAGCAGAGACATTGCAATGACAACGCAGCGACAAAGTCAGTAAGTAGAAGCATGAGAGCCCAAAGGCGTGGCGGCGACAACCGTCGCGTCGACCTCGCTCGTCTCACCGCGTCCCGGGGTGACCACTGCGACCAACATGGTGGCCTCCTGCTCGCCGGACAGTGTAGGTGCTAGAGCTAGAGAGTTCTCCGGTCCGTCCAGAAGCAACGGTTCCTTCTTCACCCTGGGAGAAACCAGCACAGCACAGCCACGCAGGGACGGCACAAGAGAAGATTTTTATATATAATATATATAAAAGTCTGAGTCTTTGAGGGCTGAGAAGCACACCCACACACACCAGCAGCAACCGCAGTGTGCTTGTTTTACTGAGAGTTTTATGGCACTGACGACACAAAAAGGAGAGCAAGGACAAAGTATGATAGACACACAGAAACAACAGAGGGAAGACCAAAAAAGTGTAGGACGTGCACGTGGCACCTTCCAACCACATACATGATGTTCTTAGTTCTCTTTTCCTTAATTATGAGTTTTACGGCACTTTCAACACAATAGGTCATACAAGTGCTAAAGGTCCTAAGGTGTGACCAGAGAGTAACAAACGAAGAGAAAAAGAAAACAGGGAGGTTAGATAAGGACGATAAATGTATGATAGGAAAGATGAAGTAAACCACACCAGAGCACCCGCCAACCATATACTGAGTATGGGAAAGCACATATCCACAGTAACAGCCATACAGAGCAGGGGAAAAGCAAGACAAAAAGACAGAAGCAACAGAGGGGAAGCAAATAATTTGTAGAACAATGGTGCCCTCCTGCTACCCATAACATTTTTTCATCAAGAATCCTAAGTTGTCAGAGTGAGAGGTCTCAGCACTAGATTCTCCGCTACTCACTAGATCTCCTATTCCACATCGTTCAGTTTTAGTAAGTGTTTTACGGCACTTGCAACACAATAAGGTCATGTAAGTGCTGAAGATTAGAGGTGTTACAAGAGAGTAACTGAAACAAAAAGGAAGGGGAGATAAAGACAATAGATGGTTGATAGGAAAGAAGAAGCAAAACCACACCAGAACACCCGCCAACCACCCACTTTCCACATCGTTATTATTGTCATTCACTTGTTCAACGTTTCAGTCATTTCTAGTTTGAGTAAAGACAAGCACAACAACACAGTAACAGCCTCTAGTCCTATCAAAACAAAACAAAGGCTGCACTGCAAGGACAACACAATAAAGAAAAATAAAGACTGCCCCGAAAGTAGTGCTGAAAAACCTAAAATAGAAAATACCTGTCTACAAGCAGAAACACGCGAAATTTCAAGATTACAAACGTGAATTGTGTAATATAGTTGTGTGATAATTAATTTAAAGAAGACTAATAAATTGGGACTATCCAATTCACATAATAAATAATATGCACGCACATTATACAAGTGTGCACATACATTATAATAGAACAAAGAGAAGAAAAAAATACACAATTAAAAAATCGTGAACACAAGCTTATTTCAAATGTGATTGACAGAAATCACAATACCCCCCCCCCCCCCAAAAAAAATATAAAAATTATCCCTAAAACATTAAAAAAAACACCTAAAAATACAAAAAAGAAGAAAGAAGGGCGAGAAAAATCACCTCTGTGCCCACAGGTCACTACGAGTACCAGTCTGGGCTTACGAACACTCTGCTACAAGGGGGAGGGAGAGATGAGAAGGAAGGAAAACGGTAATCAATCGACAAAGTATCACGAACAAAGGGGAAAAATTTCTTATAGGAAATCAGCCAAAACAAAGACTAAGAGTTTCGTTTAGTTTTAGTAGAGGTTTTATGGCGCTCGCAACTGTGTAAGGTCATATGAGCACCAGAAGATTAGAGGTGTTACAAGAGAGTAACAAACATAAAAAAAGAAGAAGGGGAGATAAGGACGATAGATGTTTGATAGGAAAGAAGAAGCAAACCACACCAGAGCACCTGCCAACTACCCACCGATAGATGTTTGATAGGAAAGAAGAAGCAAACCACACCAGAGCACGTATCACAAACAAAGGGCGAAAATGTCACCCTGGTAATCAGCCAAAACAAACAACATGTACATGAATCATCAAAACATCACACTTTCTCAGTCAACATTCAACAACAACACTATTCTTGCTGCCCAATAGAATAAATACAAAAAAACCCCACGCAGCCATTACGTTTTTTCTACTTTTTTTTGTGACTTTGTATTTTTAAGGAATGGTTGTTAGCTTCTTCGATTACTAGAGTAAAAGCACCATCTTTTCTCAGAGCTTTGTGTAAGCTAACTTTACACGATCTTTTCTCAGAACTTTGTGTAAGCTAACTTTACACGATCTTTTCTCAGAACTTTGTGTAAGTTAACAAGTTAACTTTCCACCATCTTTTCTCAGAAGTTTGCGTCTTAGTCTTCCATCAGAGGTTTCCTTTACAACATTCACCAAAGAATATGTCAGCCTCTCAGGTCTCTACACGGCTCAGGCAACACTACTTCATTGAGGAGCAGCATTCTGGTCCATCCACAGATCTTGAGGACGTAATGTTTAGAGGCACTTAAAAAAGAAGAAGAATTTTTTATTTCAATATTAATAATAATAATAGATAATAGACAGGATTTGTATAGCGCAAATCCTCACTCAACAGCAAGCTCTATGCCCTTCAGTCTATACTGTTACCCCAGTAGAACTGAGAGCATTCTGAAACAAACTCAACTTCCTGGAAAGCATACAGTGCAAGCTGTAATTTATGGGTGCTAAATAAAGCACTAACACAAAGACAAGATTTTTCGCTGTCTATGGCCGGGTACCAATTCCCACCTGGGTGAAGTGAGGAAAATTCGTGTAAAGTGCCTTTCCCAAGGACACAACGTCGGGCTTATAGCTCAGACTCCCCCCCCCCTTCCGCCCCCCAAAAACAAACAAAAACAAAAACAACCCTGCCCACATCCAGTACCCATACATCCAGCAGGGCAGGTGCCTAACATCCTGTTGTAACACTGTAATACAAACATTGAAATATTGCACTGGGAAGGTGAGAAGACATAGCACACTTTGAACGAAAATACAATATTGGAAGTCTACAGACAAAAGAAAACGGACAGTTCTAGGAATTATACCAAAACAGGACATTCAAATCTAGGATTTGGTGGTTGAAAAACAACTACGTAGTTTTCCTCCAGCGAAAAAAAAAAATTAAACAATAGCCAAAAACAAACAACCCATCCCTCTCCCAAGCTGGAGCAAAATTCTATGTGAAAACAAACGTGGTAGAGATATATATATATATATAATGTTTGTGGGACAAATGCAGCCATCCTCACCAGACTGGTTGCTCTGGGTCACATCAACTCTGTCATTGTAGCATGCCACGGAAAGGAAAACAAGATTTTAAGCAAAATAACCTCAGACAAATATTTGTACAGAACAACTTTTATGAATGCAGTCTTTTCAGGAGAACTCTTGTGGGTCATTTTTTAAAATGCAAGCTGAAGAAAGTAACAAAAGGTTCTTCAAAAGAAGTTGAGAAGTATTTTTGTGGGTATTAAAATGTTGTGTTTTTTTTTCTTCCCAATATTAGATCTTTTCGGACGAGTTCAAAGAGAAGCACTTTAAAAATAAAGGGTAGTTTTTGCAGCATGAAGCGAGCTGGCATGAGATCCACATTTGCTGGGATGAGATTCCGACAAAAATCTCCCTGAAGTGAAAAGAAGCACACTACATCAGAGGCATCCATAAACCACAACATTTCATGATTCTAAAATTCAAAAAAAAAGCTCAGACTTCGTTAAAAAGGAAATGTAAATGTTTTACACCCACAATTTCGTTCCATTATTCACGGAAATGGGGCTGCTTTGCACCTGTCTGTCAGGACTTAACTTTCCACTGGAGTCTGATTCCTGATGTTGTCGGTCTGTGTGCCCTTATTTATACAGAAATAAATTTTTCTTGGGGAGTGGGAATCATTCCAACAACTTTAGATAAAAAGCCCCTAAGACGTAACAGAAGGAACACAGAGGCAGCAACAAACTGAATTAGCAGTGGAAAAAAAACAAACCAATTGAAACGAAAAGGAGAATCAAATTAAACAAGCATCGGAATACAACTGCTAAATCAACCAGGATTTGTATCACCAACAAAACCACACAAACTTAAATTCAACGTGTCAACTCGTAGAGCTCTTCTACTTGCCATTCGCGACACAGGATTGGATTATTCCCACATTCAACATCTGCTGGTCGACAAATGTAGAGAGCCCCAGCGCCCGCCGTCTCAAACATCCATTCCTTTCCGTTCCCAGCCGGTGTCCATTTTTTGTTGTTTCTAAACACACTCAAGCCCGCCTCGGCCTCAATCCAACCTTTCTGCATGCTCTATCACGGATACCCGAACATAGAAAGTCACACTGACAAGACTCAAAGAGGGACGAGAAGAAGGATGGACAACTCTATCGACTAACACATCTTTTCCTGAGTACAATTTGCAGAACTCCATAAACTCCATGAAAAAATTGGCCTCTGTCTCAGCACGTAACAACTCAGAAATCTGGCGTGTCATTTCAGTCAGCTTTGCCATTTCAGATGCTCCAGTCCTGAAGCTCAATATGTTCACCGAAGATGCAGTATTCCAATGAGGACACACAGAGTTACCTCGATCATAGCAGGACCACATAAAATCTACGGGTCATCTTTCACCTCCATCAAATAGCCATGCTATTCTCCATCATCCTCCATCGGCCCGAACAATCAAAACTTATCAGGCCAGGCTCGGCCGTTAGAAAGGATCAAATGATATTGTCAATACCTGTCCAAGTTGCGACGATATTTTTTTTCCAAAACATTTTGGCTGGTCAAACGTCACACAATCTCCTTATTTCTCAGATCTCTTAAGAGACATTCCTTATTCCCCTTGGGACTCAATGAGTACACAAAACTTGCTGTCAGCATGAAGCAACTTTGACAACCTATTGTAGGAACGATTTCTACCCATCTATTAATTCATCATTAGAATGAAGGATTTTCACACGCCTATCATGAGCACAAAGTCCTTCCAAACATCCTTTGTCGATATGAACCAACTGTTCTTATTTATCGTTAACATGTTTAACTTTAAAGAATCTATAATTGTATGAGCCATGACCATGCAATAAACAAGAAGCACAAATTCATTACTAACACTAACACAGATTTCCTAAACTGAAGCTTAAAAAGGCAGGCAATTACATGCACACTAGGCAATACTAAAAATCGTGGTTTCTGATTTGTGTATGATAGTTTGAAATGTGCTGCAACTTTGTCTTTGGTCCGATGCTGTTCGCATCAATGTGTCAGCAACGTCCTTTAAGAGTAAAGGTCAGACTGCACAATAGCTGAACATACAACGGTAGATTGAACAACAGCTGCCTGGCACACCGGCGAACTTAATGATACAATGGCAGACGGAACACAGGCGGACTTTACAATACAACGGCAGACGGAACACTGGCAGACTTTTACGATATATGATAGCAGACTGAACAACGGCGGGCTACACAACGGCTTATATCTTTACACGGCCGGACCAGTGTCAGGCCCACTGTCCAGGTAGATAAGGTCCCAGAAGACCAGGTTCACAGAGGAGCCCGTTGAGGCAATGTTCTCCATCGGGAAACAGACAGACCCGTGCTTTCCCACCCTTGGCCTCTGACCAGCTGGAAGCTGATGGAGGTGATCATTTCCAACTCTGGGGGCTCCGGTCTCCGGGATTTTGAGCGGAAAGAGTACATTTCCGACTCCGAGGGCTGCTGTATCCGGGATTTTGAGCTGAAAGAGTATATTTCCTGATAAACTGAAGGGGAGACACGTCCTGATAAAAAGAAGAAGAGACATGTCCTGATAAAAAGAAGAAGAGACATGACCTGATAAACTGAGGCAGAGACATTTCCTGAAGAACTGAGGGAGAGACATTTCCTGACAAACTGAGGGAGAGACATTTCCTGATAAATGGAGGGATAGACATTTCCTGATGAACTGATGGAGGGACATGAGGGAGAGACTGAAAGTATTAGGGGAGGGGGTGTCTATCCTCAAAACAATACAAAGAGAGAATTCCATCAAACAGTTCTGAGCTGGCAGCAGTTGATAACAATATGTGCCACGGCGTGGTGGAATCAGGCGCTCGTAAATTTTTGGACATATAGTGTTATTGGGTAATTGGTAGCATCTGAAGGCTGATTTGTTTGCCTTGCTTCTAATGAAATAAATATTCCTTTATCTTGAATATAACTCTAGATATTTGGGTTTTGAAGTAAGTGAGAAAGTCTGGTTTCAGTGGTGAAAATAGCGAGAAAATGGCCGCCAAAGTTTGGTAACTCCAATAGCTAAAGAGTCCTTGAAAACTGAAAAATGACATGTTTTGTGCCTTTAATCAATGCTTTTCAATAAAATTCACAAGGAAATGTGTTCTTATATGGACATAAAAGAGGTTAAGCCAAAAAATAAAAATTCAATAAAAATTTCCAAACTGGCTGAAAATGCCCATTCCTATGATTTCATTATTTTGACGAGCGCCTGATTAAATCACACTGCCTCACATAAGTTTCTCTGGGCAACCCCTGACTGACTACAACCTCTTTGTTTTTGTAAAGTGTTTTATGGCGCTCGCAACTGCATATGAGCGCGCGGGACACACCTAATATTTTCAGTTGGTAGGAAATTTTTGAATTTTGCTCGGGTGGCCGCCAAAGCCTACTCTTATCGATTTAAGACAACCAAGGGATCTTTAACCTGGCCAACTTGCACACAGGCCCTCCGAGATTTTTCGCCCTTGTCCGAGAAGGCTAGGTGTAGATCTTTCCTACCAGAAGATCAGGTGTGTGGCAGAAAGACAGCAGTAAGGAAGAGCCAAGAGTAGCAGCAGAAAGGCTGTAGAAAGAGTCAGGAGCCCAGAGGAGGGGGCAAAGGAGGTGAGGAGGTGGTGGCAGAAAGTGTAAATGAAAGCAGACAATAGAACATTGCTAGAGAGCAGGAAAGGAGGTGAAAGGAGACAATTTTAGAGAAGAAAATTTTTCGGTCGCTACCCGGATTCGAACCCGAGACCTTTGAATGAGAGGCCAACACCTTTACCTCTAGGCCACGAGAGCCCCCCTAAAACCTCTGCACACTAGGGCTGGCCAGTAAGCTATTTATAGTGACAGGACCGCAGACAACAGTCTCGGGTCTGATTTCACCTTTTCACAGTCAGTGCCATGTAAACGAAACAGTCTCATGACCTACACATCCAACATCGTGCCCAGTCAAATGGAGAAAAATTACCATAGCGGTATTCATTTCACAGGCTCAGCTTCTGAAAGATAAGTTATTGTTCTCTTTTCCTGTGAGGGTTCAAAGAGTTACTAACATCAGTGAGGGAAAAATGAGCATTTTGCTGGTAATGGTGCAACTTGACCTATTCACCTCCCCCCCCCTCCCCCCGGACTGACACTTAATCAACTCTCTGAGGACATGCATTCTGGTAACAGGTAATTGGACAAATCTTGAAGATTGTTTCGGGACATTAAAAGAAAAAAGCATAACTTCGTTATATAATTCAAACACCCTTATCCATTTCATTTCATTTTATCAGAAACTTAAGTGCTACAACATGCATACTATAAAATGTGCAGATTCGCCTTACTGACTGATTTGTGCGTAGTGGTGCGAAATGAGAGGCGACATTGCCTTTGGTGTGCATCTGATGAGATGATAAGACATACGTGTCCACTAAGTTCTTGAACGGTTATAGGATTAACTCTTTAAACCCCGTCGGACACTGGGAGTATCTAGTACTAGTGACAACTGTTTCGTTTAATTTGCCGATAATTTCTTTTTGTTTTTCGGAACTATTCCCAATCCAAGTTTTTTAGTAATGACGAAGCCTTTGTTTCCGCAATTTACAAGTTGGCGGCAAGCTTAAAAGGGGTTGTAATAAGACATAGTGTACCAGGTTTAGGTGACAGCAGAAAAACGTCCAGGAAATGGTGGAAAAAACTAAGGGTTTAAAGAGTTACGAAACAGCAGAAGGAAACTGAAAACGAAACAATCTGAACTGTTCATTATTTCACCATGATCTATTCAACAGCCTCAGGTTAAAAAGGGAGAGTGACTAAGTATGTTTTTAGGCCACTATTTACACAACTTAAGAGACCGCTGCTTCGACCCTGCCTGTCAGGGCCCACCCAAGCTGAGGGGGGTCACAGCATCCCGGCAGTGAGAAAGATAGCGATACTCAACAAAACAGATATTCCCACGCGGGAATCGAACCAATGCTTTTCACTTGCAGCAGCAAATGGCTGAACCATAACATCACAGGCGACTGTTGAGCGATACAGAAGGGCTAAAGGATTAATACACTGCATAAAATATCTGACATAAGAAAATCGTCTCTGAACACTTAAATTAACTCACTGTAAATTCAACAGCCTCAGGTTACAGGGGGAAAGTAAAAAAAAAAGGGCGGCCGGGACTTAAGTTCAGAAGAAATGCTATAGGTTGCAGAGTGGTAAAACTTCAAAAAATTTTGATGACGGGTTACAGAGAAAAACATTGGGATGACATTCTAAATTTAGTAATGGGCTAACAATAAAAACCCCCAGGGCACACAGAAATAACAGACAGAACGAAAGTACCAGTGGCACCCTCCAGCCATCATTGAAAAAAACAATAGAGAAATGAAACTTAAACACCATATAGCCTGGAGAAATGAGAGATGATAGACCCATCTGGGAAATGTTAAAATAATGAATGGAGAGTTTTCAAAAGGTTACACAAAAGTCAAACTTCTATTGAAGGTATGGAACTAACCTTAGAAAAAATACTCGCTGAAAAAATGTGAAAAACTGCAAATAAGCTCTCATTTTATGTTACATGTGCAATAAATACTCGCTGAAAAAATGTGAAAAACTGCAAATAAGCTCTCATTTTATGTTACATGTGCAATAAATAAGGCCTGAAAAAATGTGAAAAATTACATTTGTGTCATGACGTGGCGGAATCTGGTGCTCGTCACTTTTTGGGTGTTAGCAACTATTGGTATAATCTTAAAGGCTGTTTATTTGCTTTGCTTTTGATAAAAAAACACCCATCCATCTATCTTAAATAGTGCATCTATCTTAAATAGTGCATCTATCTTAAATAGTGGTTGAACTATTATATTAGGGATTGAAGGAGGAGGGGGTTGCTGCTATCATTCAAGAGGTAAAATTAATGAGAAAATGGCTGAAAAGTTTGGTGACTTTAAAACTGTTAGTATCCTTGGAAACTGCAAATTTGCATTTTTAAAAAATACATTTGATCAACGTTTTTCAGTAAAATCAATGCGGGAATGTGTTTTGAAATGGACATTAAAGATGTTCAGCTCAAAACAAAAAATGACATAAAAAATGCCCAACGTGCAGAAAATGTCGGTTTCTTCAATTTCATTATTTTGACGAGTGCCTGATTTCACCATGATGCCACACATATAAGCCCACATCTATTGGAACAATAAACCTGTGCCCATCACATCAACAAAGGACATCATGTTTTGTAAGTATTATCTAAATAGATAATGAAATTTGACTGATGCCATGCTACCATATCAAATCAGTCATTCGTGGGGGTCGATTTTAGGATGGCAGTCCATACTGAGAAATTACAAAAACAGTAATTCTTTAACTTTTATACAATGGTCTTTCTGAAGAAGCATGTATTGAAATTTTCAGGCAGGACAATTAGTTTTAAAATAAATTAAGATTTTCTTTTCAAAACAACACAGTTTTATTGTGAGCCAAAAAAACATTGGGGGGGGGGGGGGGGGGGGAAAGAGAGAACAATCTGCAGAGTAAAAGTACTGCCTGGCGTGAAAATTTTGGTTCACAAAATGCTTTATTTTACCTCATTCGTTTTGATGGTTTGAAAAATTCTTATTTTAACACTAACTTCAATGCAACTTGAACTGCAATCAGCCCAAATTTCATAAAAATCCTAGTATATTTATGGGTCAAAATTGACAAATTAGTAATCATTTTTAACGTGGACTGGCCACAAAATGTACTCAGAGCCATGGTTGTTGTAGTAAACAGAAGCACATCAGCACAATGACTGTCATTTAGCACAGGGGAAAAGTGAGACAGACAGAAACAATAGCAGGAAAACAACCACTGCAAACAAGCGCATGTTTTATGTTACAACAAATACACCCTGAAATAATATGAAAAATGACAAAGAAGCCTACATCTTACTCTACAATACACCTGTATCCATCATATCAACAAAGAATCAATCAATCAGTTAGTTTTAGTAAGAGTTTTACGGCACTTGCAACACAATAAAGTCATTTAAGCGAGCCGAAGATTAGAGAGTAACAAACACAAAAAAGAAGGAGGAGAGATAAGGAAGATAGATGTTCGATAGGAAAGAAGAAGCAAACCACACCTGAGCACCCGCCAACCACCCACTCACTCAATCATGTTTTTACAAATATTACCTAAATAAATAATGAGATTGAATTGATACCGTGCTACAATATTACGAGAGTCGGGAGTGGAATTTGATTTCAAGAGCAAATCCCCCACAGAATGAACTCAGTGCAATAAGTTGTCATGGCAGTAAAGTGAAGAACATCAACAACAGAACTGTCATTCAGGGCACAAAAAAAGTAAGACAGACAGAAACGACGAAGGGAAAGAAAAGATGTTGGACCTATCTATGGTATCATACAACTATCCACAGAGTCATGGGTCCAGTGTGACATTTGAAAAGCGCAATTTTTACATCACACACATGAACCTTCGTTAAGGCCATCACACTGCGTATACATTCATCTACCCCAAGAGTCCGGAAACCATTTAGGTCATTTCAGGTCCCGCAAGCACGGTGACACGATAAATTGAGTCACAACAAAAAATAAGTAGTAGAAAAGGAATAAGAGAGAAAAAAGAGACAGAAAAGAGAGCACAAGGGACTAGCTTTGGGCAAAGAGAAGCACATGAACATGGTACCCGGTCATTGAAGCGTTTGGAAAGACAATGTCAGACAGAAACAACAAAGGGGAAGAAAAGAAGCAGTTCCTACAGGAGGCACCCTCAAACACCCAGAGATCTGGACCTATCTATAATACTTTTTTAGTTTAGGTTTTAGTAGAGGTTTTACGGCACTCGCAACTGCAAAAGGTCATATGAGCGCCAGAAGACTAGAGGTGTTACAATAGAGTAACAAACATAAAAAAGAAGAAGGGGAGATAAGGACGATAGATATTTGATAGGAAAGAAGGAGCAAACCACACCAGAGCACCCGCCAACCACCCACTATAATGCTTTCAAACAACCCAACTCCGCAGATGTTGACAATAAATAGGGGTGGTAACAATTCCCAAAGATGCACAGTGTAGCCTACTATTTCCACTCAAGTCCAAAGGCGTGCAGTCACACACGTGTGCTCGGAGTGGGGTTAGTTCAACACTTCTCAAGTTCACAGGCTTCCTCACCTGCTCAGACGTGAGCACTTGTCACTAATATAAACCATCACTGGAGACAGATGACACGTGTAGACATATTGTTATAAATAATGGTGGTTTTACTCCCCCACTGACACAATTTATTTTATTAAGGAGGCGGGCTTCAACCATGCTTGTCATGGCCAACCTGAGATACTTGTGGATATAGTAGACAGCTTGCTGAAAGTGAGAGGCTTAGGAGGAAGAAAGGCCGAATACAAAACAATCAAATGCAGTGGACTAAAGAACATAAAATCCAAACTACCCCTATGACACCTAGCTAAGAACAACCCCCAAAAAATGCCCCCTCCCCCCCTAGGGGATATAACCAGAAAACACTTCAGGGATACGTGACAAAGGAAAGACTTGCCGTGTAGACTCGAATTGTAGTTTAAAGAAAGTCAGTACAACATACTTATATTTCACAAGGATTGAAAGAGGATAAAAGTAAAAACAGAAAGAGCAGACAATACTACAAAACCCATTTACAAATAACAGGAAAGAAGACAAGTACTGAGACATAATAGGGGCACTGAAACTTAAATGGACAGACAATGTTAAAAGTTTCTTTTATGATGTGTTTTCAATAAGCTTGATAAAATTTTATTAGCCCTTTATCGGAAGAAATCAACAGTATGCTTTAGCCAGCACCTGAAAAACCAAAGATACATTGCTCTCATGTACCCATAAACACGCACCACGCAACACAATCTCACCCTCACTCTCACCATCTGCCCGTTCCATAGCACTGAATACACTTCAATACTTCAAAATAAGTCACAAAAAGAGCATAGCTCAAGCATGCAAAAGCTCAGGAGTAATTCTGGACACCTTTCACAATTATTTTACTTTGTGAAAAACAGACAGCATGGAGCCAAAAAAGCACGACACTCTCAATGACAATGTAAACGCTTTGAACTAATCCACGCTTGTCAAACAGCGTCTAAAGTAAAGCTTTGGAATCAAAAAGCAAATAAGACATTCGAAAAAGCTGTTGTAAAAATCCTGATCAGCTGATATACCAAAATCAAAAGGCTCACGAAAATAATTGTAATGGCAGTCCACATCTCACACAGGCAGACATCCAAACAAACCTCAGCAGAAAACATCAACGAGGCACAGAGTTCCCATGAGGAAAAACATCATTAACCATACTAGCATGCATGCACTAACAGAGACAATAAGCAATGGTTTCCAAGTAAAGAGAAGCACATAATGAAACAAAAATTGTCACTTAGTGCAGTGAAAGAGTAAGACAGACATACAGAATCAGCAGAGGGGCACAAAAGAAGTAGGACCTGCTAGTGGTTCCTTCCAACCACCAGTCATCTCACATAGGTGGAGAAACAAACCAACTTTAGTGGAAAACATAGAAAAAAGCACAGAGTTTCCGAGTACAAAAACATTTACGTGACAACATGAAGCGTACATCCACATGCTGAAACATAGGCCCATGCGCTTATGCGTCCGCTCGTACAACAACACAAAAGACACGACGCGGCATACTTACTTCTTGCCCCATTTGAAGTGGATGATGACGAATACGACGCCCAGTAGGATGCACAGCGAGCCGACCACCATGTAGGCGATCCCCAGGAACGGGTTCTTCCCACCCAGCCACGAGGTGGTGGAGATGATGATGCTCTTGGTTCCGTCAAAAGCAGTCACTGGGTAATCTGTCGTGACAGACACACACACACACCACAGTTAGTCACAATCATGGCACAATTGAGCATGCCATTTTTGTTTTGATTTTTGTTTTGTTTAGAGAAAACAAGAAAAAAAAACCCACTGCTTACCTAAGTCACTCTTATGATGACTAAAGAAAAGGTGAAATGTCTTAATAATTCGATTTTAAGTGAACAAAACAAACAACTGTTATACTGAAAATGCGAAACAAGTAATGGCCATTTTTACCCTACCAATATCTGGAAACCTGAAAAAAAATATTTAAAAATTACAGAGGCAAATCCTAAACCTACCACTGGTTAAGTCTGAAGCACACATCAATCTTTTGAAAATACAGTAAAGCAAAGCAGAGGCACTGATTTAATTTAAAGGTACTTCCAAAGCAGAAACAAGACCTTTCCACCTTCCCAGGATTTGCTGCAGAAATGTTAACAGGACATTCCTTTGCATTCTCCCATGACTTACTATAGAAAATGTTAACAGGACATTCCTTTGCATTTCCCATGACTTAATGTAGAAAATGTTAACAGGACATTCCTTTGCATTCTCTGTTGACTCACTATAGAAAATGTTAACAGAGCAGTCTCTTGTACACTCCCATAACTTACTGTATGAAATGTCAATGGTATAGTTTCCAGCAGGCAGACCATCATTGAAGGTCGAGCTCGTGTGGTTGATGCGCCGATAGAGCTTGCGAAACGTCGGCAGGGCGGCCGTCCTCATCCAGACGATGAGGTCTTCATTTTCATAGCCAGTGTTTTCTAGGTCAGTAGGATCCAGGTCCTGGACGCTGTTTTTCCAGTTGGGAGGCTTCGTGAAGAAGTTCCAGTCTACAATGCAGTAAAAACAGTTTTACTTTCAAAGACCATAAAGAAATGCTGTCGGCAAAACACCTAGACACATCAAAGTTACCTCTGTGGTTATACCCTTCTTAGAGCACAGAATTGTTTTGAATGCATTCCTTACATATGTCATTCGCGCAACACACTATTAACTGCAAAATGACTAACCTTGTATGCATACATACTTTACAAGCACGCAAACATTAGACAAACATGTACACACCACACGCACAGACACATCTCCAGCACAACCATAAATAAAGATGTAGTTATCAACCCAGATAAAAAAGACAAGCAGTTGATCAACATCTTGCATTACATATAAATACTGATGGGACCACCAGCTCCTTTTTCTCCACACAGAACAAACAGCACAAACAGAGAATTGGTAGGGAGTCAAGCTTTTTTAAATAAGAAATTATCAAACATACACTATTTGACCGTATCTGTACGCCCTGGGGTCATTTTGTACCCGCAGGGTTGTATTCTTTACATTTTAGAATACTTCTAGCGCGAAGATCTCTTTGAAACTTTCAGTATTTCTCAAAAAATCATTTTTTGATGAGAACCATCACAAGAATGAAAACCGTAGTTTTTCAAAGTACCATTTTTTCAGTATATCAAAATGAATAATGATTGGCAGTCCTGTATTAGAAAAAAAAAATGTACACAATATAACATGGATAGGTCAAACACAGAAAATTCGAAATCATACATCTACTGTGCCAGTGGTCTCATTTTTTTTTCTCCCTTTTTTATTTTTGCAAGATATCCCTCGAACTGCGGATCCCTCGAACTACCGAGGCCGATCCCGACAAATTCGAGCTATCCGTGTTACAACCTACATTACAAGTGTCTACTCCATTGATAAAATAAGTGTGGCCCTCCACGTAGATGGAGAATTAAAAATTGATCAACTTTTTAGTGCAACAGTAATATTTGTAATGTAAACTCAACTTAAAATAATAGATGACCACCCCCCCCCCCCCCCCACCAAATACAGATTGTATTATAGTTTTTTTTTAAAGCATAAAAATTACATTAAGAAAATGTTTTATGGCTGCACATCTCCAGCACATAACGCACCACCACCATCACCACCACATACAAGAGCACACTTGCACAAACACACACTTCACAAACATGTTACTTACTGCTCGGGTTGTTGAACTTGACATTTTTATCAGAGACCCAGGCAATACCTGTCCGGATAAGCCCGACTGCTTCAGAGCTACCAGTTGAGGGTACATATGTCAGCGAAAATGAATCTGGAAACAGAGAAGAATTTAGTACAACCCTTTGTAAAATGCTGCTGTCCCTTTTCAAGGGCTCAAGTTCAGTTAACAGACAACATTTTACATTTTTACCATTTCACATAGTATCATGTGACACCTGTCCGTTCACAGTTGGTGTAGTCGTATGTGAACTTAATTACCAGAGCATTTTCTTCCCTGTTGGGCTTCTAGAGTTTAAAAAATCACATACCATGTTGGTAAGAACTTTGGCACATCAGTGAAATTTTTATGTTCGCCACCTTGCGTGAAGTAAGCTTCAGAATGACATGGTCGTGGTATTGGGCAAAACGGGCATGGTCACTAAAATCAAGAAGGCTTGCTTCCTACTGTATGAGGTGACGGGTAAAGGATGAAATTTATTGCCAAATGTGAGTATAAGTGCTTACTGCACACCGATGAGTTCGATACCTTTTACCCATGGCACAACTCTTGCAAAATTTACGTTATTCACTTACAATAAAATTGTATAGCACCTGCTATCCCCCCCCCCGCTTTTTTATAGTGGAGGTTTTACAGTGCTCGCAACTGCATAAGGTCATATGAGCGCCAAGGGGTGGATGTCAACAGAGAAGTCCTGACAGGGAATCAGACTTACTCTGCTCACCTCTCTAGCTTCAACAGCACAAAGTCTGCTTCAACTATCAAGGCACCCCGGAAATAGCAAGTCTCAAGAGTGTGACAAACATACAAAAGAAGTAAAGGAAAATATATGACGATAATAAGGATTAGGAAAGAAAAAGCATCAGTTCCCTGTTGTAGTTCAGGCACAGTTATGAGCATGACATTGTTGGATGAGCCCATTTACAATTCTACTGTGCATTAGAACGAGAAATGTTCCCCCTTTGGGAATGGCCTAAAGACACTTCAGTCAGTGGCACCGCCCCAGGGGGTGCTACTGTCCCGTCCTCTAAAAGTTTATATAAATCTAAATAGCCAAAGCAAGAAAACTCTATAAAAATAACATGGTTTAGGTATGACGGCACGTCAGTCATATCCACATTGTACTCACACAATAGATAATTCACACAAAAAAAGAAATAGTACAGCAACTTTTATCTCCTGTTATCCGAATGTGAGGAAGCCCAACAACAGCCAAAACAAAATGTACTCAATTAAAATATAATGGTTTGGGTATGACTGCAAGCATTTCCACAACATACTCACCATAGACAACTCACTAAAAATAAAATGCTCTTGGTATGAGAGTACACCACCAGTCATTTAAAACAAGGTACTCACCATTGAACAGACTGTTGGCGATGGCCCCACATGGTGCGTAGCCGTAGGTTGTACTGTTGATGGAGACGGTTCTGTAAGGGTCACAATCGTCGTTTAGACTGCCGGGCCCAATGTTTTCCCCGTGCAGCTGGTCGTCATCCCTTGAGCGCACGTAGCGACGGTGGTTTTGGTAAAAGTTGGTCAGCCCATAGTACACATACACCGATTTCTGAAAATTCAGAGGCAGGAAATGAACAGACATGATAATGTTTGGTGCTTTTTATCAACAACTATATGACTGTGACATGAAGAGAACATTGCCACAATTTATTTCCCTTTATCCCTTCTTTTATTCTTATAATGAAAAAGATATGAAGTTTTCACACCTTTTCTATTACTCTAAAGAATCAAAAAAGTAAAAAGTGTTCAAAAGTAATGTAAAGAAAAAAAAACCCCCTTCATAAGCTAAGCAAGCATAAAGACTTGATTTTGTACAGTAGAAAAAACTGCAATGAGACACCAACAGACCTCAAACTTTTCCAGGGTGCGCGTGATCTGGCAGTTACAAGTCAGTCCTGTGTTGTTGGGGTTAGTGAAGAAATCTGCACATGTCTGCCCCCCGCCACCTGTCCGCTCACAGTTGGTGTAGTCGTATGTGAACTCCTTGATCTGGTAGCAGACACACACAAAAGGTTGTTATGCTTAAAGTATTGGCTTGAGAGAGAGAGAGAGAGAGAGAGAGAGAGAGGGAGA